GGGTTTAGGGTTTAGGGGGGGTTTTGAGGTTTAGGGCTTACGGTTACCCAGATTGTCCCGAACCCCTTAACTAAGGAATGTACCCTACATGGATCGTAGGATCTCTACTGTGATTCAAGGTCTATTCCTTAAATTAAGGGATTTTGGAAGGTGAGGACTTTCGGCTTCCGAGCAGGTAGAGTTTAGGGCTCAGGGGTTTCGAAGCTTCAGGGTTTCGGAGGGGCTACTACTGTTGATGATATAAATCCTGCATTACCATACCATAATTCCCATAGTGTAGGGTCCTCAATTACGGACCCTATACGATGGGAATTATGGAATATTTTCGTATTGTGGGTAATGCAGTATTTAGGGTTCAGGTCTAGGGCTTATAGGGCTTAGGATTTACCGTTTATAGGGTTCAGGATTTAGGGCTTAGGGTTTAGAGTTTAAGGTTTAGGGTCTAAAGAGTACTGTAAAGGCTGATGAAGTGTACTACAAAGCATGATAAAGGGTTTCTCGGGTTCCGCAAGCGCTGTACGGACGCGTGTTTTGTGGTTCTGGGGCCCGGAGAGATTTAGATGGGCTTTGGCTCGATTTCACGGCTTGTTTACAGCACCCGGACATAAGCTGTCCGTCTTTCGGAAGACAACAAGCACCCGCGTCGGACGACGTAAGCAGGGGCAACATAATAATTTCAAAGGGGGCTACAATATGCCTGTACTATGGACAATAAGTGAGTTGCATTGTTGATTATTCAGACGCCTATGCTATCCTTGCACCGCATCAGATGACCTCACTCCTCGATGCCAAGCAAGGTTTTGAGCCATCCTAAACCCTAAACCCTATAAACCCAAAACCCTGAACCCTGAACCCTGAACCCAAAACCCTGAACCCTGAACCCTAAACCCTAAACCCTGAACCATAAACCCTAAACCCTACACCGTGAACCCGAAACCCTGAACCCTAAACCGTTTAAGGCTTCGGCGTGAAAGTCCAGGCTGAAGGGTAAAGGGCTTAGGGCTTTTAGGGTTTGGGATCGTTTAGGGTGTAGGGTGCAGGGTTCAGGGTTTAGGGTTCAGGATTTAGGGCTTAGGATCCAAACGTTCTGGTGCATCTGTGCCTCTGTGTGCTGCAGTCCAGACTGAATGTCCTGTGACAGGGTTCAGGACGACAACAAACAAAGGCGTTTGCCTCCTCAGTACAAACTCAAGACGACAAATGTCGAACATCGCTTGTCTGGGTTGTGGGTTTGGGGCTTGTAGACATAATCCTTGCCTAGTTGGTGTGTGAGGTTACCCCCCCATATCCTGCGCCCGAGACTGGAGGTACTAACTCTTGAAAAAGCCCGAATTTGCCCCAGGCCAGGATGTTTTTTTGGGGGAGGAGCTGCCAGCCAGCAGGATTTCGAATTCAGTGGCTCTGGGGTCTTCGCTGTGCGGGGCTTGAAGGCTTTCTGCCTCGTTCGGGTTTGAGGCTTCGTGGTGTGCCATCGCCACACCCTGAAGATGATACTTTGGGGGGTTCAAAGTCGAAAATCTGGGTGGCAGGGTCCTTAATTGCAGCCCTACTTCTGCCGGGGTAGGCAGTGAGTATTGGCCCTTTATAAACCAGAAAGCCCTTGCACAGTTGTAGAGAACCCTTGTAATTAAGATTTGTCGCCACCGAAAACCCTCCCGAAGCATCCATGTGCCTGTGTAATTACATCGTATGCTGTGCCCCCCACTTGGATTGGAGGCCCAGGGGACTTAGTAAGTAGGTTATAAGTAGTGTTATAAGTACCTTAAGTGGAGTAACCCCAATTGTAACCTTACTTATAACCGACTTACTAAGTCCCCTGGACCCTAAACCCTAAACCCTAAACCTAAACCCGAAACCTAAGCCCTAAACCTAAGCCCTAAACCTCTTATAACCGACTTACTAAGTCCCCTGGGCCTCTAAGCAGCTGGGTTCTACATCGCAACACACAATTAAAGGACCATGGGACCTGATTCTGAACTGCACGGCCATTCCGACGAACAACACGAAATCCCAACATAGATCCCCACAATGTAGGGCTCTTAAGAATTAGAATAGGGTTTTGGGGTATATTATGTTCTAATCAGAATAAGGAACCCCCAAAATAGTATTGGTAATTGTTTAGCCCTTACCTTACTCTAGGATCCGCATCCACGAGAGACCCTACCGTTTCTGGCTGCCAGGTATACTACAAGCCCCTTATCAAACATCCGTGGCTTTATACCGTTATGAAGGTGCAAAAAAAAGATTTTCCCAAGAAGCCTGGGCCTAAACCCTAAACCCATGCGACAGAGACTCGACACCCGGGAGGCTCAGACCCCAGACCCCGAAATCACAAAAGCTGAGTTCTGCAGCCGAAACTAGGCAAACAAACCCCGAACCCCAAATTTAGTGGTCGCTCCTTTTGGATTCATTGTAATCCCAGAGGGTCCATCTGCACTACCATTGTGGAATTAAGTCCCAAAAGACCATCCCTGTTATGGTTTTGGGAACCATAACAGTAGTATATAAGGACCCTCTTGCAATCAGGGTCCTACATGTTCCTCTACACCGCCCCCCTTTTCGCTTCGCATCTCCGTTCAGCCTTCCTCTGACCAGACTGCGGGAGGCTCTCGAACTTAGGGTTTAGGGGTTTAGGGTTTTAGGGTTTCAGGGTTTAGTGTGGGGTTTAGGGTTTAGGGTTTTAGGGTTTTAGGGTTTACGGTTTAGGGTTTCAGGATTTAGGGTTTAGGGTTTAGGGCCCCAAGCGCCCTGCACTAGAGCCGCTTTGGTCGTTGATAGTGGGTACCTAGGGTAGTAGGGTTCAGGGTTTAGTGTAGTGTTTAGGATCTTTTGAGGTTTAGGGTTTAGAAGTTTGGGGGGGGTTATGGGCTTAGGGTTCCCGGGTTCAAGAGCCGGCCATCATCGGGAGCCGCCGCAGAGCGCTGTTGCAGGGGGCCGAAATAATTACCTATACTTTTGGGGGTTCCTCATTATATCTACAGTATAATGGGCCCGAAAACCCCAGTCTAATTCTCAAGGCCCCTACGTTATAGAACCCTTAATAGTAGCTCATATAGAACCCTTTAAGGATCCCTTTGAAGGAACCCTAGTCTAATTATTATTAAGGCCCCTACACCCTAAACCCTAAACCCTAAACCCTAAACCCTAAACCCTAAACCCTAAACCGTGCATTCTTCAGGCTCCGGGATTCACAGCCGCACAACTCCTTGCTGAGCCGATGCCCCTCATGTACCTCACTGGTCTTGGCGTCCTGGACCCAAACTTAGGAGATGAACGGGTACGCTTTTGCATTGTTTCGGGATAATATGCCATGTCCTGGGTAGAACTAAAAATGTGCATTTTTTGTGACTTATGAACTCAGCGACCAAGCAAATGAACAAATCCTTCTTACGGGCCCGCTTCTCAGCCCCTGGAGGTGAACCCCGTGGCCGAATGATTGAAGCCTTCTGTAACCCTAAACCCTAGACCCTAAACCCTAAGCCCTAAACAGAGTTCAGGGAACTTTTGCTTGTAGCATCTTGTAGCACTAGAAAGTGGCACGGCTACCTATGGGCCTTCTCAAGCAAGTATAGAAGCCGGCAAGCCCGGACAAGCTTCTGTGATACATTTATGCAGCCTCTACCATTCCGAATTTGGGGCTTCGGGTTCATTACCACTTCGACGGGCTTAGAACATGCTTGCTGCTGCCCCCGACTCACGAAAATCCAAAGCCGCAGGCTGCTTACAACAGTGGGTCTGAACGGGTCAGGGGGATCTTGCGTGATCGCAGTTTCGAGCTGCATCTTCCTTGTGCGGGCTTCAGAGTAATGTAGGGGCATCAATAAAGCGGGGTTTTGGGCTCCTTGTTTCCATTATGGTATAGTATACTCCCAAACTCTATTCTAAATATTAAGGCCCCTACGGTTGATGATACAAATCCTGCATTGCCCATAACGATTAAGGAATATACCATAATTCCAATAGTTTAGGGTCCTTAAGGTAATGCAGGATTTCTACCATCAACAGTATATTAGGGTTCAGCCGGTGTTCCGGCCTGAGGTGCAAAACAAATCACTAGACCCGAAAATCCACCCCCCCAAAGCGTAAGCGGCAACTGACCGTAATTTGCATGCTTATCCCTAAGGGTCCATGTACCCAAATAATAGATACTTTGGCCTGAAAGTCGTCCTTATCGTGGTACTGTGGGACCAAAGTACATACTGTTTGGGTCCATGGACCCTATAAGGGTACTGTATGACACTACATGCATTAAGCCTGCTTCTAAGTACCTTCGCACCTGCAGGCAAAAACCTGAAACTTCAATGACGAGGCTCAAAGCTCCCCGACCTCGAACCCTAAATCCTAAACCCTAAGACCCGAACTAAACCTCATCTGCCCTAGACGATACGTTAACCCCAAATAACCTACCTTTTCAGTGACTTATATCAAGAAGTCATAATAAGGGACCCAAAAAAGGTTGGTTCTTTAGGGTCCAGGTAGACCCCAAAGCTCTTCCTACAGCGACCAAGAACCAATGCACGGTCAACAAAAAAGAAGCAAACCCTTAGACACATCTCAACCCCTAAATACCATTTTTTAGGTAATAGGCGCCGAAACAAGTAACATAGTGGCCTTAATCATTGGAATAGGGTTTTGAGTTATATTATGCTATAGTTGCTATTGGGGACCCCCAAAAATGTTCGGAAATTATTCAGGCTCGCCCTCTAAACCCTAAACCCCCTAAACCCTAAACCCCCATATTATGAGCTTCCTCTCGGTACAGCTCGAAACCCTGGCCTGGCCTTCTTGGCGGTCCCAAGCAGCTCGTTGCGGATGCACTTGATCGTGGCACAGGCCTTAGTACCCCAAGGGTCCCATGTACCTAAGGGTTCCTTTAAGGGATCCTTTAATGGTTCCTATAAGGATACTATCAGTAAGGGTCCTATATACTGTTGTGCGGGATACTTCCCTAAAACAGAATAGTAATTCCAATATAGAACCCTACACTCTACTACATAGGTATGTCGGACCTTTTCGGCTAAGAGTAGAAGGTAAGGTATCTATATAGTCAAGGAAATTCTCTGGTTTCAATCCCACCCTATAACTGAAAACCCCGAACCCCTAAGACAATACGGCTTAGAGCAAATGACCGTAAAACACCCGAAACAAGCGGAAACTAAGAAGCATTGCCAAAGCCGAACCCGTCTTTAAACCAAAGAAAGCCCGCTCATGAACGGTATTCTGGGATCAGGAATTCACTGCTTCAGAACACAGCCGGCTCTGACGCTTCAGGTTGGCGGGGTCCTTTGGAACTCAACTGAAAATTCGCGGGTTTGTTGTGTGTCCCTAAGGGGCCCCAGAGTACCAAGACAAGGACCACTTTCAGGCCAAAGTATTATACTGTTTGGGTACATGGACCCTTAGGGTGTACTTGAAAGCTGTTTTACCGTGAAGTACCTCGCAGGGGGTTTGGGGTCTTTAACCATGCGGCAAATCTCGGTGTCACCCATGGTCGCTCAGAAACCGACGATCGGATAGTTTCGGCCTGCACGGGGTGGTGCCGGGTTCATAAAGCTTAGGATTTAGGGTTTAGGGTTTATGGGGGTGGTGAGTGATGATGGCTTCAGGTTTGGAATGTGCGGAGACTCTGCTTTCTCGCATGCACTGGTACCTACATGCGCTGAAACTGCCGTCTACATGCACTCACCATATGTCGCCCAAGCTGCACCAAACACATCTGTGGCCTGCGGTAGCTAAGCTCCGTTTTAAAGAATCGGGCAATTCGCGTGAAGGCATCGCGTTAACAACGTTCCATGTAAGTTGCATGCAGGCATGTCATACGTGGAGGTTGTGAGACCGCCGCACGACCGGTGTCCAAAGTCAGCATGTCTCTGGCCGGGAAAAAGGTTGCGAGAACGCCGCACGTCGCGGCAGCGTCCGAAGTCCGGCCTGCTGCGTATACAGCATCTTCTCTCCGCGGCATAAGGGTTATGAGAACGCCGTGCGACGTGCGACCCGGCCAGGTCCAAAGGGCATTGTGCTGAATACAGCTTGTCTCTTCTCTGTGTAAGGGTTGTGAGAACGCGGTGCGACCCGGCTGCCATGCAAATCCGACTTGCTGCTGCACAAGAAACTACCTGCATGGAACTGTGA